AAAATATCTTTTTTTTAAAAAAAATAATTTTATTTTAATTTTTTTAGTAAAGTAATACTCTATTTACTATTAAATTAAAGTATAATAAAATAATTAAAATAATATAAAAAGTGAATTTAAATTATTTTTTATTCAATATAAAAAAATTATAAAGATTAGTTAAAATTTAAATAATTTTTATTAGAAATAATTATTAATTTTATATTGATATATTAACCTTTTTGTAATAATTTATATTATAGATAAATTACTTGAATTTTACTTAATAAAATTATAAAATATTATTTAAAGTTAAAAATTAATAAAAAAATAATTAATAAAATCTTAACTTTAAATTTCTTAGTATAAATAAGCTTTATTTTAGTTATAAGACTTAGATTTCTTATATTATTACTTGAAAGTTAAATATTAAATTTATAATTTTTATTATATTTATACTTATTTATATTATTTTATTTTATATAAATAATATAATTTTATATAAAAATTATAAAATTATATTTTTTTAATAAATAATTAAATAATAATAATTAATTATATTAGAAATTTATTTAAATAAAAAATTTATTATCAAAAAATCAATTAATAATTACAAATAAATAATTATTTTCTATTAAGTATTTATATTAATAATAATAATCTTTTGTTTGATAAAAATATTATTATATAAGTATTATTCATATCATTTATTTTAATTTTATAATTAATTTTTTAGTAATTAAAAATAAGAATATTTTATATAATCTTTAGATAATTTGATGAGTAAAATATTTTATTCTTAATATAAGATAAAACTTATATCTAATTTGTCATTATTTTTTATTATATATTGAAGAATAGCTAGTAAAAATAAAGTAAATAATAGTATCTTGATTTTTAATAATTATTAAATATTTATATTTTTATATAATTGATATTTTTAGATTATATTATTAGATAAACTAATATTTATTATTAATTAAAAAATGATCTGCTTCTATTATTTGTTAATTAATTTTAAAAAAATTAATTTGCTTTGATTTTTATTGACTGTTCTTTCAATATATGAGAATATAAAAGTTAATATATTAAGAAAGATTTAATTTTAGATTTAATAATAAATTTTTTTGTTATAAGATTAGTACATGTATAAATCCCTATTGTCTTCTTTTTTCAGTTTAATTCTGATATAAAAATTATATATTAACTTTATAAATTTAATCCTGAAAACAAGCTATCTCTTTTCTAAAGCTAAACTTTTTGCAAAAAGTACAAGTAGCTTATTTTTGGATTTATAGTATTATTCAAATTTCAAGCTTGATAAGTAAATATTTTCCTAAAAAATTTCTAATTAGTGACTTTCTTACATAGACCTATTAAACTTATGATTCTAAGAACTTTCAATATAATGAATTTTTGAAAATTTTCATCTTGAATTTAGAAAATTTGCAGCTTCAAACTTATCTGACTAATCTTAACAAGATAAATCTTTTAAATTATACGTAATAATAATTTGATACTGTAATTATGAAAATTGGCATTTAGTATTAATCTATAAAAATATCAACTTAAAATATTTTTTATTATTCCATGTTTGACAATAAGATAAAAAGATAAATATATACACAAATTTTTAAATTATAAGTCCGGTTGAGAACTCTTATGATTAAAATTTTTTTATAAAGAAAATGTATGTAATTAAATAAAAACCAACTAATAGCCTAAGATCTGATAGACGAAACTAATGAATGATCTAATAGTATACAAGAAATTAAATTTATTATCAAAGAAAAGAATAATATTATTTGCATACTGATATACTATAAATTATTTAAAACATATTTTCTAAATTAAGTTATGGTGAAATTGCTGAAGTAAATAAATTTAACTTTACTAAATTTATAAAATTCAACTAATTCAACTATTGTTAGTTTAGAATTTTAATAATATAACATTATATCATTTGATAATAATAATATAATAAACTTCTTACCGGGAATTAAATCAAAAACTTAATCCATAAATGTTTTTAATAAAGATTATTCGATAATATTCATGGATTAAATTTTGAATATTTACTTCTTAGTTGAGAGATTTTATAAAACCCTAACTTTTGAAGGTATGAAACATCAAAAAATATTAGGAAATTGAAAGTATGAAATATGTATATAAATTAATCACACAGCTTAATAAAATTCTTTAATAATGTAAATTATAAGAGAGAAATTTTTTTAAAAAATTTCTTATAAGTAGTTTAATCTTACAGAATTAGCTATATATATACATACATCTAACTGCAAAGTTATATAAATACATATAACTGCAAAGTTATATTATTGTATAAAGCATATATAATAATAGCTTAGAGGCGAAGACAAGATATATATAGATAAGTATATTAAGAAAAGTTTGAAATGTATTCAACGATAAGCGTCCATGAGTACACTTAAAACGTTATTATCATTTACATTCGCTATAGGAGGTTGGTTATTAAAAATATTAATTCCAATAATGATGTTTTACGTCATGCTCAAATAAACGGCTGAGGGTTGCTGTAGATTTTGTTGTTTCTGTTGGTTATTAGGTTGATTCATTCTTTTAGCTTGAAGTTATGATAATTTGAAATGAGTTAAAAAAAGTTTGCAAACTTTGTTAAAAACGAGAAGAATTTACTCTTTGTGAGAGTGTTTGGTTTTATATTCTTCATAATTAGAGCTGTGTGATTATTACATGTATTCACAGAATATTGATTGATTGCGACACTGATAAGAAATCATAATTTTATAATATATATGTACTGTATTTTTTGTTTTATGTTACGTGTACTTTGATTTTATAATGAGTGAAACTATCAATTCTTAAAAAATGAAAAGTTTTCACGTATTTTGCATAATAACATTTTACTAAAAGGTTTTTTAAGAGAAAGATCCTCCAACAGAACTCAAGAATGCAAAACTCATCCGTAAATAAAAACATGATGTATATAACTTTCGAAATTTTAAAAGAAATAAGGCATGGTTTCGCAAAATTGGTATTCTAATACAACAAATTTTCGGCGACGTCATCAGCATCAACATCCAAATATAAATCCAAAGAAAAATAACGTTCAGATCAAAAAACAATATAATGGAAGAAATTTAAAAGAATAATTGAAAGAAAAATCGCTGAAGGTAAAGTTACGATTCATGCACATAAAGAAATAATTTCAATTTTCAACTAAAAAAGACGAGGATTATGCAATAATTTATTGGCAAAGAATATTTTCTATTATTGTATTCAACTTTTAGACGATTTTATAAGAATTCCCATCTAAATTAGAAATTAAGTTTCAATAATATTTATTTTAACTTTACACAAGCAGTTTTTCGCAAGTTTGCTATCAAATGGATAATTACTGATGATCTCAATAGAACGAGTTTTTCTGGTGGAACTGATGTAATTTAAAAACAGATACAATCCGTGCAATTAGAGAGAAAATATAATACATGTATATCCAATTGCTTTTTTATTTTATTCATTTTATTAGAATTCAAGTCGGTTGAAATCGAGTCGAGCCAAATTCAGGTTATATAAATACTAACTCGAATCTTTTAATTTTATACTCGGGTCGAAATACGAATATTTCCCAAACCTGGCCTGGATTCGACCTCTTCGGAGCACTAATGTACTCTTCATCTCATTAATTAATTATTCAATCATTTAATATATGTGTAACAAAGTTCAAAATATTGTCAAAAGTTCTTTTAAATACTTATTCGGAATGTGAATGTGTTTCGCTGATATTTTCTTACCTCTCTTTCAGTGAGGTTTTAAATTTCTCTTCAAATCAATCAGGCGAATGCTATATTTATTAACTAATACGCTTGGTTTGACTGGTTCTATTCGAACTAAAATAAAACAAAACCGTTATCTTCTCACATCTCGTCCAATCTTCAATATGGAAACAGTCTACTGTTCAATTAGTTGGCTGTTTAAATCACAATGATCTGCTGGTTTTATTGGAGAAATTCCACATGATCAACACATACATCACATCAAAAAATTTATACTCCATATAAACACGACCTCAGATTAGAAAAAAGTCTGACTTTAAAGAGGTTGTGACTGTATATTAGTCGAAATTCTATGCTTTATTTCGGAGGTGGAAAAGGTGTGATTGTAGAAGTGTATGACTGCATTATTATCGTGTTCGTGAAAAATGATCAAAACAAAAATGTTTATTTCTAAATGGCAGTTGAATAGAAGGACGATTCGAAAAATAAATATATCAGTTTCAATTGAAATATATTTTTATCTTTATGCTACTATTGTTTAAATATTATTAAATATGCTTATGTTCCTCCATCAATCAATCCCTTTTTCAGGTCCGCAAGTAATTTACGATTCCACTGTTGACGACAAGACAAGGCATCTTTACCCTCAACCTTATTAGAGACCAGATTCCAGTCTAAACTTGGCATTTGCTCCAACACAGCATTTAAAAGTTGAAGCCGTTGGCTATTTGTCCATTTTGCCGAGCTTGTTTTCTGTTTTGACTTTGTTTCCTCTGGTTTCTCTGATTCTGCCTTAATTGTTGCAATATTGTCTTCGGAAAAATTTTTCGAGGTTGTTTGGTTTTTAGTTAAATATTTTTTGGTTTGTATTTTGGGCATTTTTCCTTCGGTGATAAGAAAAGATTTTTGAAACAACGTAAATGATTTAAATATAGAAATTTTGTCCTTTTCATGTCGATTAAATATTAAAATTATCCAGCTTAATTTATTATGATTTCTTGTGGCCGATCTTGATAAATTGTTTGATGTATTGAGAGTAAATAAAATATTACACCAGTAATAGCTTGTTTATTCAAGCGATAGTAATTTACAATTAATCATTATTATGATAGATTTTTTATTATTCTGACTTTGCATACCAAAACTTTGAAAATAAAAATACACGAGAAACAATCTACCAAAAAATTGTAATATTTTGTTAAGTCTTAAATTTTTTTAAATTGTGCTTTATTAAAAATTGAGGCGTGAGACGTCTAGATATGGTTTCTTAATATTATACTATAATTCAATTCAATAATATCTGATAAAAATGGCATCATTTTACGAAGTTTTTGTGACGCTTGATACGTATGTCTGAATTTGTCAATTGGTCTTCTAATCCGACTTAGTTTAGTCTTATGGGAAGACTTGGCGAAACGTGATTCTAAGATTGAGTCAGAATAGTGAAGAGACAGATATTTTCTCGGGTTGAATGCATAGGAATCTGGAAACATATGTTAGGAAATAACGGCAGGAAAGAAAAGCATCAGACGAAATTTAAACCGTGAAACTGACAACGAAGCAATACATCGGCAAAATAACTTCGGAATTTTGTCATGAAATACGAAACTGAAGAAAGCCCAAATTTTCTTCTTTACCGAACTCTCTTATTGCCTTTCATCAAATTCCTCATGCCTTTCCGTCCATTAGTCGAAATTGAAAAATCACTATTCAGTAATATATTTGGCAACCATTCCTCAGCTGAGTAATGGTTGCCAAATATATTACTGAATAGTGGTTTTTTTAATTCGACCAGTGGATTTGTCAGCCTCCGAATCATTTTGTATGTTTGTTACTTGTAAATGAAAGCTCGTTACAATAACATTTTTTATAACATACATCAAATCTCTTCAGTTCGGTTCAAATCGGGTTTGTGAACAATCCGACCCGAACCGAAAATTTTCGGATCGGGTTAGACATTGGCGAACCGACCCGAACAGATACTATTCGGATCGGGTCGGGTTGACCCGATAATTAATGAGCTCGGGTCAAATTTTTTAAGAGGCAAACCAATTAAATCGCAAGACCAATGCGTAACATGAAAATTCGTTTAAATTAAAATTTTTGCCTGAATTGCTTTCGCATTTACTAATTTCTCCCCGAATTTTTGATAAATTAATCATGCGATATTGAACTATCAATAAAAATGCAAACAAATCTGATACTAAGAAGTGAAAAATATAAGAAATTTATTCATAAGACCTTTCTTGGTGTATTAATAAAAAAATGTACAGAAAAATTTTAAATATAACCCAGATCTCAAATTTTAACTCAAACTTCAATTCATCCCAACTTTTATAAACAATCTTTAATATTAATTATATTGCAAGATGTTTTTTTTGGAATTAATATTATATGATTTGATTTTGTCCAGTCAGTAATATTTTTTTTACATGATTTATATGAATTTCCTTAATATAGGATTCTCTTTTAATATAATATATTTTCTTGTACTTCAATAAGTATTTTTTCAAATAAAAAATTGAATAACTTGATATTTTATATAAATAAATAATTTTTCAAGATGTGTTAAAAGATAAATTATTAAAGATTCAATATTATTAAATAAATAAGTAAGAATATTTATAATAAATTATTCTTTAAATATTTTGATTTAAATAAGACTTTATTCTATCTCTTTTTTGTATTATAAAATAATTAACATATAAATATTTTTCTTAGTTTAACAATTATTTTATATAGTTAAAGATAGAAATTGAAAATATATAAATGAAAGTAGTATTATTTTTAATAATACAAGAATGAAAAATAAAGTATTAAATAATTAATATAATATTAAGTAATTTCTTAAATTATAATTATCTCATATATAATTGATTAATTTGAACTTTAAATTAAAAAATTATTATAGTTAATTAATCTGAATTATAAATTAAAGAGTTTTAAATAAGTATATTCTTATATAATTTGATTTTGAATTTTTAAGTTATTAAGTTTATAAATAAAAATTAAATATTTTAAATATAAAATAATATAATTCTAGTATTTGATTATATATTTTAGTTTTATTTTAATTTAATAAATTAAAATAAAATATCTTTGTTATTTATTATTTTTTTTTATTTTTTATTTTTATTTTTTTTATTTTTTATTTATATTATAATTTTTTAAATTTTACTATTATTATAATAGTAATAAATACAGAATTCTATATATTTTTTTTATTATATTCTTATAAATTTTAAATTTTATTTTTATAACTTTTCTTTATAATATAATTTTATACTTAATTTTATTTGATTTAATAAGAAAATATATTTATAATAATATTTTATATAAAAAAAATATATTATAAAAATCTTTTTTAATAGATTTTATATTTAAATATATATAATATTTTTACAAAAATTAAAAATATTATAAATATTATAAATTATAATATATAATATTTTCTTTTTTTTTAATAAATTCAAAAAATTTAAGTTTCAATTTAATTCAACTTTTTTTAATAAAAAAATATTTGTTTTATAGATAAATAAATTTATATTTATAATATAATTTTATAAAAAATTTTGTTAATAATTTGCTAGTTTTGAGATTAAATTAAGATTTAAATCTCTTAGATTTATTATATAAAAGAAAAATATTATATATTATAATTTATAATAATTTCAAATTATAATTATAATTATATTTATATAAAAATATTTATATAAATAATTAAAATTAATTCTTGAATAGTTTAGAAAAAATAAAATAATTAATTATATAAATATTTAAATAAGATTTTTAAATTAATTCAAGAATTAACTCTGAAAAATATATATATATATAGATATATCTATGTATATTATATATATAGTTACTAATCAATATATAATTATATATATAGTTAAGTTCATAAATTATTACTAATTAAGATATTTTATACTTAATAAATAATAATAAATTAATATAATTATACTGATATAGAATAAATATATATAATAATAATAAATATTTATATATTTATTATTAAAGTTCTACATAAGAATATAAAATAAATATATATATAAATATCTATATATTTATAATTAAAGTTCTATATAGAAATATTTAATCAAATTAGTTATATTATTAATTTTAATAATAGTATATAAAATATAAATATTATAAAAATTTTAAATATTAATATAATAATTTAGTAATTAGATATAAGTTATATTTATATATATATTTAAATATTTTAATTGAAGTTAAATAAATATTTTTTGATATAAGCTTTGAAAATCTAGAAATTATTAATACAAGTTCACTCAATATTAATTCATTTAAAAGTTAACTTATATAATATAAAGCAAAATTAGATCTTTTTAATAATATATTAGCATAGAAGTGTATTAATAATATTAATTTAATTACTTGATAAATTATAAATTTTGTATAAGCAGTATCTTAATTAATATAATTAATTTAATATATCTTAATAATTCCAATATTATTTGCAGTTTACAAATATTTCATAATGAAAAAAAAGTTAGTTAAGTAGTAAGTATATTTTGAAATTAGTTATATTTATAGTAATTATAAATTATAAACTCTTTTAGATAATCAAAAAAAATTATCAAAAAAAAATTAATAATAAAATAAATATCAATTAATATTATACTTATAATGAAAGTGATAAAAGTAAATATCAGAATAATAATAAAAGTTCAGAATGATAATAATAATAAATAATTTAATATATCAGATAATAGTAATAATATATTAGAAATATCAAGTGATAGTGATAATTATTAATAAATACATATAATAGTTATAAAAATAAAATTATTATTAGTTTTTATAAATTTATATTATATATTTAATTACTATATATATATATATATATAGTATATATAGATTATTATATATATTATATATATATAGTATATATAGTATGTATAGTAATATATTATATATATATTTATTTATCTTTATATATATAATAAAATATAAATTTAAATAAATTAAAAATTTATTAATTTTAAAATATAATACCTAAATATTTAAGAATATAATTTGAATATATCTTAAACTTATTAAATTTTGAATTTAATTATTAATTTTTTATTAGTTTATAAATATATTATAATGATATGATTTCTATAAATTTATAAATTAGAATAGATATAATTATAAGAAAATAATTAATTTATACTATTTCAAGTACTTATTATAAAAATTTTGTCAACTTTTTCATTATATATTAATCAATTTTATGTATTATATATATCCTTACATAGAAATAAATCTATATAAAAATTTCTCTCTATAAGAATCATATTTCAGTTCCTGACTGGATTCTTATAGAGAATTTAATTTATTTCTATTACATATAGATATTCATAACTATAAATTAAAAAATCTATTTTGTATAAAAAGTTTTAAATAATTCAACTATATATTTAAGAAAATCAGAAAATTGATAAAATATAAATTGCATTTATCACTTATAAAATATAATAAAGAATAAATTCTAAACACAATATTTTAAAAAACATAAAATAATAAAAAAAAACTTAAATAAACCATTCTAAATTGTTAACTTGCCAACAAGGACAAGTAATAAATATTATGAAATAACACAATTGTCATTTGGTTTCAATTTTTGTTTTGCAAGAGCACACCCGCCCTTAGCTGATTTTAAGTACCATTCGTAGGCTTCTTTCTCGTCTATTTGTGTTCCAATACCATTTTGATAGCAAAAACCAAGATTAAGCTGCCCACTTGCATTTCCACCTTCTGCTGATTTCAAATACCATTCGAAAGCTTTTCTCAAATCAATTTGAGTTCCTATACCAACTTGATAACAAACACCAAGGTTGCATTGCCCTAAAGCATTTCCACCTTCTGCAGATTTTAAATACCATTCGAAGGCTTTATTTTCATCCTTTTGAGTTCCTATACGATTTTGATAACAAAAAGCAAGATTGGATTGTGCACTTGCATTTCCGCTCTCCGCCGATTTCAAATACCATTCGAAGGCTTTTCTGTTATCTTTTCGTACACCAATGCCATTTTGATAACAAAAACCAAGGTTAAATTGTCCATTTGAATTTCCATCCTCGGCTGATTTCAAATACCATTCGAAGGCTTTTTCGTCATCTCTTCGTATGCCGATGCCATTTTGATAACAAAAACCAAGATTAAATTGTCCTCTTGTGTTTCCACCTTCTGCTGATTTCAAGTACCACTCGAAGGCTTTCTTCTTATCTTTTTGAGTTCCTACACCATTTTGATAACAAACACCAAGATTAAACTGACCTAAAAAATTTCCATCCTTCGCCGACTTCAAAAACCATTCGAAGGCCTTTTTATCATCTTTTGGTACGCCAATTCCATTTTGATAGCAATAACCAAGATTAACTTCTCCACTTGCATTTCCGCCCTCCGCTGATTTCAAATACCATTCGAAAGCTTTTGTGTCATTATTTTCTATTGCAATTCCCTCGCTATACGTATGGCCGAGTAAGCATTGAGCCCTTGAATCTTCATTATGAGCACATTCATTATAGAGTTTGTATGCCATTAAATGATCTTGTTCAAGAATAATTCCATTATGATATAGAAAGCCCAAAAATGTTTTATACTTGTTATTATCTTGCAAATCCTGTAAATAACTTCTAAACTCGGCGTGTAGTTGGGCATTTTTATCATAGTGAGTTTTCAAAGAAGTGCCTAGTTTTATTTTATCTTCAAGTTTATCAAATTGCTTATGAAAAAGAACGAATAAATCCTCAACTAAATTTTCGAATTGTTTATTTTTGTTGGATGAGCCGTCTGAATCTACTTTATTGCGAAATCCATTTTTTAAAACCTCGTCAGGAGCATTTGATGTGAAACTTTCATTAGACAAGATTAAAAAGAAATCATCGGTTTCCAAGGCAAGTGAATTCGGCGCAAAATCTTCATTGGACAAATCTGAAAATGACTCTTTCGAAATTATGGTAAATGAATCTGTAGTCCACTCTACCTTTTCAAGATATATGTTTACTTCATAGATATCTGGGCGAGTTGTTGGTTCATCATCCCAGCACGCTTGATAAAGATCAACATAGCTATCTGGAGTTCCATATATTTTTTTTTCTTTTTCTGATGAGAAACAAAAAGCATCTTTATATTGAATAGTCGGAGGGTGTCCACTAGTAATAACCCAAAATAACACACCAAGGCTGAAAATATCGGATTTTTCATTCCGTCTGAAATTACCCATATCTCTTAAAAATGCCGGATCAATATAGCTTATTATGCTCGGATTTAAATGCGATTGTTCATTTGTAAGCTTTGAGAAAGCTAAATCTGAAATTTTAACTTCACCCTTATGAATAAGAACATTATTATGATTCTAACATTAAAATAAATAAGCATAACAAACATATTAGCATTAGATTTGCCATAATATTAAAAATACTATATAAAGTTTTTTTTTCTTAAATGACTTACTAAATCACGATGAATAATACCTTCTTCATGAATACACTCTAATCCTTTTGCAAGTTGCTTTGCTAAGGATAGTTTATCGTTCCCGTTCATGTGTGCAAAATTGAATTTTAAATAATCTTTAAGCGTGCCACCATCAGCATACTTTAAAACTAGCATATATTTTTGAGAATCTAGGTCTAAAGGAAATTTTTTTAGTTTGTTTCAAAAAATCGGTTGATGCTTCTGTTACAATAAATTTACCTTTGGTGACTCCATAAAAACGAATTATATTTTTATGGTCATTAATTTTAATAAGGATTTTTAGCTAAAGATTAGATTAAATGTAAGCTTTCTGACATACTAAATTTTTGTTTTTCAATAATTCTTTAAATTCTAAAGTACCTCTTGAATAAATTGCTGATAAATTACTCCTTTAGCATCTTCTTTGATATGTAGACACTTCAGAACTACTGTCAGGCCATCATTTTTATCATTTTTTAATTCAGCTTTTAAAATTTCCCCAGACGCTCCGTTCCCAATTGCTTTTTTATTGAAGAATTTATTAAAATTGAAATGATTTATTTGAGTTTCAGAAATTAAGTCTTCCATCCAAGATGATGACATTATTTCGAATGCATGTGTTTGTTAACGTTTAGCCTTGGCATTAATATTAACGTTAATACGTGCAGACCATTCGATAATCGACACGCAACTGATCTGCATTTAATAAAAAGCATGTGTAACAGTTGGAACGTTTATGAATGTTATTTAAATTCTGCAAGTGCATCTATCTATGGATATGATGTTTACTAATTTATCCTCTAAGTTTTGATTAGTCCAGAATATTTAAGATCATTATTAGCGTTAGGTTAGATTTAAGAAAAGAATTATATATGAAATTGTAAAAATAAGCATATGTTTTTCCGTTTTTTACATTTCACTTTAATTTTTAGTGTCGTCAAAAAAATTTGTGCTTGGATTCAGCCAGCCAATCCACGATGTTATTTTTACCTGTGTCCAATCAGAACTTGGTAACTACATGTACACTCACTGGACAAAAGTTTGGAATCGGTGGTGATCGACATAAATAAAGGGGAGCTGCATCGTTATTTGTGCAACACACAGACGTCCCAATTTTAGCTCTTTAGAAAGCTAATATCTTAAGCTCTGAAACGATATAAAAAACTATGCCAAACTCAACCAATACTCGCGAGGTAGTCGGCGCTTGGAAGTGTGGTTTTTCCGAACAAAAAATAGGAGTAACTCTAGGACAACCCAAACCACAGTTGCTGCCCGAAGCGGTAGACCACCAATATTAAACGATAGAGATACCCGAAGAATAATCACCATTGTAAAAGATAACCGGCAACAATCAGTTTATAAAATTACTGAAAAATTCAATACTGGTTTGGAAATTTCGGTTAGTTCTAAAACCATACGTCGTAATCTTCACGAAAGT